GTCAAGCGCAGCGATCTGATCCGCGATACCAAAGTCCCGTTTGTCTTGCCATCATCGAGTGCGAGGAAGCCGAGAGTGGAAAGGCGGTAGTCAATTCCGACGACGACGACATCGCCACGAGACGCGAGTGCGCCCCCATCGTACAGCGACTGGCTTCCTGATCCACCCGTGAATGCGCCACCATGGATCCAGAACATCACTGCCTTCAGACGCGTCTTCGTGTCTGGCGATGGAATAAAGGGCGTCCAGATGTTCAAGTGGAGACAGTCCTCGCTGCTGGGGTTCAAGCCTGACCCGAAACACGCAGGAGCGTAGTTGCGCGCATCGATGGTCCTGTTGCCGGTGTATGCAGTAGGGTACTCCCACCGGCCCGGAGGGTCGGCATATGGAATGCCATAGAACTTGAACGTCGTTTGATCCCGAAATCTAGCAGAGTATCAGTTTGCATATTGGTATGCCGACGGGAAAGTCTCTTACCCGACGATCGTCAAGTCCTGAGACTTCACCGTGAGCGAAGTCTCGGGCTGGGCTAGTGCTTGGAAGCCGGCGCTCTGGGAGCACAGCACAGGCAGCTCTCGCAGACACGTCAGCGAAAGGCTGACGGCACCCTTAGCATTGACAATCTGGCAAAACGGTCCCGAGCCGGCTACCCAGAACTGCTGGGTGGGAGGGAAGTTCTTCTGGAATACTTGGTACTGGAGCAGATGCGCCAAGTCAGTCGCAAAGAATGTCTTGTTGACGGGCAGCAACGTCTCTCCAAGGGCTGCGCAGGCACGCGACGCGTCAGGGTGGAGGTATGAAGTTGAAAGCAAGAGAGCGCCGTGGTGGGTTGATTGTTCATTGACTGCAGTGCGGCCAACAGTCAGCAATCGACACAGGGCTGAGGCGGACGGAACTCACCGTTCAGGTCATTATTGTACAACAAAGTGATGTCACTTCTCACCGACGATGACGACGTTATAGCAAGACCAGCATGAGAGACCAAAGGCAACGCTAGGAGACGCACAACGAGCCTGGCAAGCGCGACACCAAACCCCATCGCGTTGATGTCACCTGGTTGTCGACTGGCCAACGAACTACGATGACCTTAATATATGAATGACTGAGGAAGAGTTCCATCACGATCACGAGAGACGATGAAGAACGAGAAACCATCATGTGCTCCAGCATTGGGTCGGCCCTCGCGCTTGAAACGGAGAGCTAGTGGGGAGGGCAATTCCAACATCAACTTGAACAGCGTCAGCAGGTACGTACTCATGGCCCGACGGTTGTTTTTCGTCTCGAGTTGGTGCACATGAGATCAGAAAGAGAGGTCATAGCCTTCTAAGTCTTAGTGTCATGGGATTTCCGCTTCGATAGGGGTATGTGGAAACTGGATGGATTTGCTGGCGGTATCATATGGGCGGCCAGCCCGGACCGTCATGCCGTTCGGAAGCTGCCGGCAGAGTCCCTTGGACGTCCTGATGAGAAGGATGCGATCTCATGAAGCAGTGATATAAAATACACATGAAGGGGGGAATGGTTGACTCGTTCCTTTGTCAAATGCATCATGGAAAGTCCAGAGCAGCAGTGCCACCTGCACATACCGTACCATGTGAGCTTTGGGCCCACGGCGCTCCTATCCGGCAGCCTGTGATTACGGTCAAGGCTGGATCCTGTAACGGGCCTATATTTCCTGTACCAAAGGCTGTCGCCACACTGGCTCGCCTTTCTTACATTGCTATCATCATGCGACTATCCATGATCGGCACCTGTAACGGCTTCAAGTGTTGTCGTCAACAATGTTAATGTCCAGCTATGGTACTACAAGCGTGGCTGGATCACTGTTCCACGTCCCCTCTCAAAGGTGGAGAACAAACCCTGGCTATCCGAAAAAAAAGATATACAAGACTCAGCTACAGTCTGAGGCGGAGTGCAGGATCATGACAATTCACTGCTCTGATACAATGCACAGGCGGAAGGAATTGTAGAATACTTGATGTAGTACTATATCGCATTCCCAAAGTATCGTTCCCCAATGCTGTCTGCATCACGGCTTTCAGCGTAGTCGATGTAATTTGAGATCAAAACACATACCAGAGACAGCTTGTTCGCTACCAACCGGTAACCTCGAGTAACCCCCGCGAATGTAAACCACGTAGAGCCTTCTGAGTTCCAAGCACCACCTTTTGCCAGTCGTAGCTAGGCTTCCTTCTCAGATCATAATGAACAGAAATTCGCAACTTCACCTCCTCGAGGAGCGGGAACCGGTCTTGTGTGATGATTCTGTCAAATGCTTGCAGTCGGAGCAGACGCCGGTTGTTCAACGTCGTAATGCGAGGCAGGTCGTGCAGCCAAATAGCGATTTTGCGCAAGGTACCCGACGCCTGGGAAAGCATTCCAGCCCCTGCGAGGCTGAGCGCCGGGTGGTCCGTAGGCTGTTTCTCGTCGCCGGATGCGCGGAAGTAGATGTTGATATTGATCGACTCGAGTCTCGGGCAAGACGCGAGGTTGAGGCTTTCCCAATGGCCTAGAGAAACATCCGGTTGTACATAAGCCTGTGATGCGAATTTCATCAGAGATTTGAACATTCACTCACTGTCCATTGGGTCCTTCCAACCATCCCGCATAGATGCTGAGGGAGGAGACTTCCCGCTGACCTGCAGGCTCGTCAGACCCTGTCCAACGCGAGCAAGGAGCTGGCCTATGGCAGAGACTTCGGAGATGGTGCTGCATTCGACTTCGAGATCTTGCAAATATCCCGGCTCGAGGCTTTTCGTGAACGCCTCCAAGAGCATTGCTATGAATTTGCTGTCGTCTAAACAACTTTTCCATAAGCGTAGTTTCTTCGTCCTCAAGGGACGGTGGAGGCTTGAAATATCGGATGGTATGGGAGCATTGATGTCCCACCCTGTGGGCTCTCCGTACAAGGAGTCGACATCGAACATTGACAGGATACGGAATAAGCCAGAGATAGAGGATTCCTTAGATGAGGAGGTAGTTGTTGAGCCGAAGGACAGTTGTTCAAGACGGAACGGTGCAGGAGGATCCTGCTCGGCGTCTGGATTCCGTCTCGGAGCAGATAGCTGAGGCGTTTTATACACGAAATAGCCGAGCCTCAGGGCTGTGAGATTGGGAAGCAGCTGCGTGAGTTCCAGCACGGTGTTATCGTCGATCGAAGTCAGGGGAGCGTATCCATGCTTTCCGACTTTCCGTGTGGCGCCACTTAGCCTGATGCTGCCAGTCTTCTCGCAGATTTTCGGGTTCGCGCGCAAGAATGAGAAGAGGTGGTCGAAGGCGTCGATGTCCCGTACAGATAAGGCATTGCGGAAGTGATGCTCCAGTGACACCGCACGGAGACAGTGGCACACGAGCGTGCACGTCCGGATCGTCCACGTGTCGGACTTCACATGAGATATGATCATGCATAGGAGTTCGACTGGTAAGTCGCAGATAGTGCGATACTTGCTGGAGCGTGCGAGGACAGGCGGGGGCTGGCGGTGGTTACGCCGATTGTGATGGTTGGAAGGAGACATGCTGGCGCCTAATCAATCGCTACTGAGGCCTTGTTTGATGCAGTGCGCTGCCTCTACAAGTGCTCAGATAACATGTTTCACTGACATAGGAGACCTGTGTAAAGGGTGTTTGTCGGAGTTCGCCAGACCACGGAACTTGGGCTAGAGCAGCGCCGCTAAAGGAATCATCTCTACGAAAAATGTCGGTGAGGCACTGCGTTAGTCGGGATCGAAGGACCCATCTGCGCTCCCCGTGCTACGAATCTGCCACGAGTTTATGCTGGTCGTTGCGTGGCCGTAGAGCATGGTATTCATTGTTTCAAACTCTGGTGTTCTAACCTTGGCAACGCCAGATGAATTTGAGCAACCAGTGGGCTGGGACTCGGGGCCTGAGCCGCTGACGTTCAACAACATGTATCTGCGAGAACGGAGTGTTGATTCGTGTGCTTTGCTCCAACGGTCCCTCTTAGCCGTCCTCCCTCACTTCAGTATCCAATTTTGCGCCCAGTGGGATCAGAAAACGCATTAGCTCAGAGCTTATACACGTCCACTAGGGAGCGTTTCCGTGCCATTCCTGAGCAACAAATGATATGATGTGAGGACAAACCTTCAGCCTTATCCTGCTACCGCCTCTCCATATCAGAACATGATCGCCGTATACAAACTCGACCACATCGTTTCGTCTGCCTTCCCGGGACTACGTACACCCCGACGTGATCATCGCTTTACCCATAATATGTCAGCGGGAAGCCCAAGAACTCGCACTGCTCCTGCTGTCCAAACGGAACCATCACGCTCTCCCACTGTAGCTGCTGCACCGGCTTCCCATGCAAATTAGCCTTCGTCACCGGTTCCCACTTCCGCTGGGCCGCCAACTGCTGCGCCGTGCTCGTGAACCCGCGGGCAGCAAGGAAACCAGGGTCGGGGTTCGGGTTGAACGTACGCGCGAAAGAGGACCAGACGTCAACGATGCGCTGCATAAACGGCAGATCTTGATTGTCGCGGTACGGACGATCGGCAGGCATCGAGCCAAAGACGTAGTATAGTTCGCCGGAGTGACACCTGCGCGTTCATGTGGTGTGGCAGGGAAGGATGTTGAGAAGAAAATGAGGAGCAGGCCGATGAAGAAGGAAGAACATCGGGTGAATCACGAACGATGCATCAGCAGGATGGTACATGTGCCAACCATAAGAAGAACGCACTTGAAGTATTCCGCGGATGTATCTCCGAAGGGGTGCTCATTGGTAATGGGCGCTTCGCACGTCGGAAACTGGGGGAATCCATATCGACTTAGCATCACTAGTCTTCTATAGCGACCTGTCAATACTGACGTTAGGATCATATCCCGATAGCTGGTAACTCCTGTTGAACTCATAAAACCAAACACTCTTGAAGAGATTGTGCGTGACTCCAGAGAACGCCGTCGCCTGATCCAGACAACGGAATTCGACGTCTGTTGTAACGCCAGCAGTTATGTTGAACACGTTCAATGTGGCGTTCGCGCCGGACGGCTCTGGGAACAGTGTGTTGTTTGCGACAGTGGTGCTGAGGGACGCGCCTATGAGTCCCTCCGTCAAGTTCCCGTCAGTCTATCCTTTTCCATAAGCATGCTATGGGGAAAAGCGTGGAAAGATATTCTCGTACTGGGTACCCAATAAAGGCGGCGCCATCATCGCGCATGAAGCCCATCATTGTGTGAATATCAGCAACTGCGCCAGAGCCGTCCACCGGAAGCTGAGTGTGAACGACATATGTTCCGTCGACCACAATGAATCTGCAGTACTGTTAGAAGGCCTTTTATCAATCGTATGCCGTGACGAAACAGAACCTACCGAGCTACGGTTGGGAGATTGACTACTGTGTTCGCATCGACACCCCTGAGGCAGAACAAGACGTCGCTGGAATCGCTACAATTGACCGCAGAGACTATGGCGTCCGCGACGAGCGAGACTTCCGCAGCAATGGTGTAATACAACGAGTACGTTGTGGCATAGTTTTGGCCCGCGAGATTGCTCTCTGGGATCGCTGCAGCGTACTTTCCGATCGCCTTCGGAGAGCCCATGAGAGCACGAACGGACGCAGCCCCCGCAGACTGGCCGAAAATCGTGATACGGTCCTTGTCGCCACCGAATGCAGCAATGTGCTCGCGCACCCAGTCAAGCGCAGCGATTTGATCGGCGAGTCCGAAGTTCCCATTTGTCTTGCCATCATCGAGCGCGAGGAAGCCGAGCGTAGAAAGTCGATAGTTGATCGTGACAAGGACGACATCACCGCGAGAGGCAAAGGCGTTGCCATCGAACGTCGGGTCGCTTCCCGTTCCCCCGGTGAACGCGCCGCCGTGGATCCAGAACATAACTGCCTTCAGAGACGTCTTCGTGTTTGGAGAAGGGATGAAGGGAGTCCAAATATTCAGGAAAAGACAGTCCTCGCTGCTTGACGTCGAGCCCGTCTGAATGCATTCGGACCCAAATTGCGCGCATCGATAGTCTTGTTGCCAGTGTACACCGTAGGGTACTCCCACCGTGCTGGAGGGTCCACATACGGAATGCCGAAGAACTTGAACGAAGTCTGATCCCGAAATCTAAGAAAGACTTGAGAATGGATTCCGACAAGACGGCGACATGAACACTTACCCTGTTATAGTCAGGTCCTGAGACTTAATCATCAGCGATGTTGTGGGTTGGGCGGCGGCTTGGAATCCGGCGCTCTGGGAGCAGAGCACAGGAAGCTCTCGCGAACACGTCAGAGAAGAGCTAACGACACCCTTAGAGTCTACAGTCCGGCAGACAGGACCCGAACTGGCGACCCAGAACTGCTGGGCAGCAGGGAATTTTTTTTGAAAGACTTGATACTGGAGGAGAGGCACCAAGTCGATCGTCAAGAACGTTTTGTTAACCGGCAGCAACTTCTCGCCAAGGGCTGCGCATGCGCTCGATGCGTGAGCGTGGATTTGTGGTGTTGAAAGGAGAAGAGCACTGCGTTGAGTTGGTTGCTGACTGACTGCATAGATTATTGCGATGGTCAGCTAGTGAGGTTGATGCTCGAAGACAACGCTCACGGTTCAGATCGTTGTTGTACAGCAAAATGATGTCGCTCTTCAGAGACGAGGATGATGGTATCGCAAAACCGCAAACAAGAGGCGCTGCCAGGTGGCCAATGGCAAGTCCAATCAACGAGGTCAAGAGGTGCATATCGTCGACGTCAGCTACAAGTTGACTCACAAGCATCCTTCTGATGGTGTGCTATATAAACGGTCAAACAACGCTTCCATCACGAGGGAGATAATGAGGGGCAGATGGCCACCGAGAGGACAAGAACCCAATCAGTCCGCATGCTTCAGTAGGATTCTGAGGAGGAACGTGGCTTGGCTGGAATTCAGAGCGTCAGCAGGCACGATGTCGGAGTTTCCACCTGTGCCCATATGACCCGACGGTCTTCCGTTGTTGTACGCTTCTGTATTCCTGACATTGTTTAGATTGTAAGATACGAGAATAGAGGGGCTTTGGAGCTCCACATAGCTCCTAGGCAGTCAGAGAGGTGAGAGTAAAAAGGAGGAGACACGGTTGTTGTGTTCAATATGCCATTCAACTTCGAGCCGCTGCAGTACGTGCCACCGGCGGCAGTTGCCGATGGATTATACTGAACGCCAGGCGCTAGCTGAGGCTCGGGCCGCCGCACGGCCGCGAGCATCGCATTCAGGGCCAGTGCGGGTTTCCCGCTTCTCATACTTCACGATATGACTCCCTCTCAAGATTTATCCTGTATTTCGAGCTCAATCATCCTGGTATCACATGCTTGTGTCAGCAGGGGCTCCTGTACCGTTATGTTCAGGCGTCAGATGAATTCGATCCTGAACGGAATAAGCATCCTGACTTGACTATAGAGAGTAGCGAAGAGAAAATACATGGGGCATGTCTTGACCAGTTCTCATCACTTCGGTTCACTTGCTCTCGTTAGCACTCTACCCGCCATGACGTCGGGCGTGAATTTTGGAGGCCGAAGAAGCCCAGCATCCGTGGTAAGTCAATGTGGAATTGAGACCGAGAGCAAAGTGGCACAAATTGTAGTGTGATATAAGATGGATCCGACAGTTCACCATAGTACATTCTCTGAACAATGCCGCGTACATAGGGAGTTCCTTATTTGTTAAGCCGCAACAAGCAGAAAGCATAGAAGTACTATATAGTGGCCGAAAGCCGGAAAGTGTATCACTATAGTAAGGGCACACAACTTACCATCCATTTGGTTCAGTAGACTGGAATCGCAGCACGTTCGCGTGAGTCACATTGACGATATAAATGGCGTTATCACCAACAATCGACTATGACGTTACAATGGTCAGAGCGTGTTCATATGCCATATAGATACATGCTAGTGTACATACCAAGGGGTGTCGACATGCGCACTTTCAATATTTGGTTACCTGCAGCAATCCTCGCGAGTGTAATTTTGGCAACGCCTTCTGCGCCTCGGCTACGACGTGCTGCCACTGACATGTTGTCGTTCGCTCGACGTTCCATTCGGGCTTGATAAGCAGCTCAACATTCTGTAGGAGAGGGAAACGCTTGGGTGTGATGACGTTCTCGAACGCTTGCAAGCGGAGCAGCCGCCTGTTAGTTAGCGTCGTTACCCGAGGCAGGTCGTGTAAGCGGATGGTGATGTTACGTAGGGCGCCCGACGCCTGAGAGAGAATACCGGCGCCTGCGAGGCTAAGGACGGGGCCCCCTGTAGGCTGCTTGTCCTCGCTAGATGCGCGGAAGAAGATATCGATCTTGATTGACTCGAGTTTGGGACACGACGTGAGGTTAAGACTCTGCCATTGACCTGCCCAAATCATCAGAAGAGGTACGGGGACTGAGATGAGGACATCGAAAACACGCACTGTCCAAAGGGTCCCTCCAGTCCTTTCGTTCTTGTAGAATGTAAGGTGCGACCCCCGCGACCTTCAGGCTCGTGAGACCCTCACCCGTGCGTACGAGAAGCTTGCCTAGGGCAGGCACATCGCGGACAGTGCGACATTCGGCGTCGAGAATGCGCAAAGCCCCGGGTTCGAGACTCTCCTGAAAAGCTTTCAGGAGCTTGAGTGTGCTGAACCTATCCGCAGAAGGGCGGCTGCCTAGCCGAAGTTCCTTGACATTCAAGGGGCGGTGGAGGTATGCGAGATCGAGCGCGGAGGCTTCAAACTCGTAATTTATCCAAGACGCGTCCAGCAGGTCAACGACAAACAGGGAGAGGATGCGGAACAAGGCAGAAGTGGAAGACTTGTGATGAAAGCTGTAGTGAGTGTGCGACCAGTGGGCCAACGACAGCCGTTGAAGGTGGAATGGTTCCGGAGTGTCCTCCTGAGCGTGTGGGGTCGGTTGGTGGGCAGATGTATACGGGGATTCGAATCTAAACTTAGAAAGCTCGAGATACTTGAGGTTGGGCAGCAGCTGCATGAGTCGGAGCACTACCGTGTCATCGATAGGCGTGAGGGGAAGGTATTGGTCCTTCTTGATATTCCTTGTCTGGCCGGACATCCGAAGGTCTTCGATCTTCGCGCAAACCTTTGGGTTATCCGCCAGAAAAGAGAGGAGGTGATCGAAAGTGCCGATGTTCCTGACAGCCAAGCGGGTGCCGAAGTGATGCTCGAGCGACACGGCACGGAGGCAATGGCACACGAACGTGCACACGCGCATCGTCCATGCATTTTGCATTGCCTCCACATGAGATATGATCATGTATAGGATTTCAACTGGTAGGTCGCAGAGTGTACGGCACTTGCTAGAGCGTGCGAGGGTGGGTGGGGGATGGCGGTGGTTACGCCGGTTGTGATGGTTGGGAGGAGCCATGTTGGCGCCTAATTGTGGCCGTTCAGATCCCTTTTGTCCTGAGGCGGGTCATCCTACTGAACATGGGTATTCTGTCTTCCGTCCCGAAGACTGAACTAGGCATCCGTGAATTAGATTAGGTCCAATTGGCGTTCAGGATGTGTTCTAAGCTGTTGAATCCATATCGGCAAGTATCTACCATCGTGTAGCTTAGCTTCTTAAGAAGCGCTTAGTACTGCGTTGCTTTACCTGATGACTTTAGTAACAGTAGATATAAGACATCTAGTGATTTTGGAGCACCATGAGTGACAATTCTACAGTTAAGGGCGAGCGGACGACCTACAATCTACCTAGACCCGAAGTTCTCGCACGCAGTCGAGCGCGATAGGAACGTCTACCGTGGACGGGCGATCGGACTGCATACAGTTTGAAAGTGAGGGGCAAAGGAGCGATTGCAGGTTACAATGCCGAAAAGCATCGAGTGCACCACGATACTATCAGATTTACAATCAAGATGCGCAGGGAAAGACAATCAAAACCGATATGTAGAGTACGAACATAACACAAGTCCGTATACCATTTCCGGAGAGCCAAACCTATACCACTACACCTCAAGACATCTCAACGTCGCCGTTCTCCGCAGCAGGCGCAGCAGCAGCATTGCCAGCGGAAGCGGTCGCTGGGGCGGCAGCAGGGGCGGCGGTGATCTCGTCCTTCATGAATGCCTCGAGCTCCTGATCGAGCTCCTCGGCCGTCTTGGGCTTCTCGCGCTCTTTCCGCGCGGGCGCACGTGCACTTGCTGCGCCGCCGCGCGCCTTGGTACGTACTGGCCCGACACCGCCACGTCTGTGAGGACAAAGAGACCCAGATCAGCAGGTGTATACGGGCGTCCGTGAAGACGACGTACGGGGCAGGTGCTGGCCTTGAGTTCGTGTCTGTCTTGCTCAGGCGGTCGAGGAGGGGGGGCTTCTCGATGCGGTTGATGAGCGAGGGTGTGCTCGCGTTTCGGCGCGTATTCTTTCCTGGAGGCGGGGCGGTGTCATACGCTATCGACATGGGTTGGTCTGCACGCATGAAGCCAATATCAGCACACCGTCAAACAGAAGGCAGGAACAGAAGCAGAAGCCGCGTTACTTTTAGCCAAGATCCCATCAAACTGCTTCTTCGCCCTCGTCGCCTCGGCGGGGGTCTCGAAGGTGATGACGGCGACGCCGGACGAACGGCCGCTGCGGTCATACTGTTGGGTTCACGCAATTGAGTTGAGTTGAAGGCCAGGTCGGGACCATGCAGGAGAGCGAAAGAAGGTCGGATCGGTGTCTCGTTTCTCAGGTGGACTCGGTGCATGCGGAGCTTCGTACCCTGATCTGTGGCTCACGGACTAACGTGCCAATCTGCCCAAATATTTGCTGCGGTAGAGACATGTCAGCACCACGCAGGAGACGAGCGCAACCGAGGAGAGCACAGAAAGGATAGGATGGAAAGGTATATGCGCGAAGACGACAAGGATAGGGGCACGTACACTCAAGTCTTTGGGAGTCACTTCGTAGTGTAAATTTGAGACAATGATTCTCGTGTTTGTGACCCCGTTAGTGGCCTTTGCACTTGCTGTGTTTTGTACTGCGCGGGGTACTCCGGGTGCCCTGTCGTGGAGCCACTGTCCATCTGCGCCTTGAGGGCGAGCAGCAGGAGCAGGTCGCTGTTTGGATCAAAGAGTGAAAACACGTTAGAGATGTCGCGCTATGCTGTTGAGCGAATGGGTGCTTACGCTGTAAGGCTTCCTGGCCCGGTCAATGCTAGCACGAGGCATGATGAACGTATTCAGAGCAGAGAGAGACGAGTACAGAAGGAGAGAGAGGAGTGTCTTATGGTGGCGGAGAGAGATGGCGGCGCGGGGCGAAGTCGCGTTGTGCGGATGTTAGGCGCACAAATTGAAGCGGCGACCACACTCCTGTCCACTTATGGTAGGTGAGTAGGTTCGCGACGTGTCCAGCCCCACTTGCTGGCTCATAGCCTGTTTGTGAGACAGCGCAGTCGTGGCCAAGGGCTTTGGTAAAGGATTTGAATTTGAAGGTAAGGATCTAATTATGGTGTGCTCTTTGCGCTCATGCACCGGGTATATGAAGGAAGAGGTCGGCGCGAATGCTACTAGTACTGACAGAACACTCAAAGATTACCGTCCGACTACGACACGGTGATAATACATGAGGCACAAATCTGCTAGAGGGATAAGGGGATTTATCCCAGTAGACCACGAAGCTAACGTGCGACTTTGGGGAGCTCGTTTATGGTCGAAATGAATCCAGGCCATGGACATTCGATAAGTTCCTTGAGCCTATATGTGACGGTCATTCAATCCGCTTGCTGGCTGATGAGCTAGGGACTCAGAGTAGTAAGCAAAGTATTACGGAGCTCTTGTAGTCCAACTGTCTCTCGTGATGTAGTTAGAGCCTCAGGTCATTTGAAGTCTACTTCACGTAAAGGGATGTCATGGGAGGGTAATTCGGCTGGCTGCATGGCGTTCGTGGGATGCCAGAGGGTTAGAAAGGACGCCGCTGACATGGGAATACACATTGATTTACGGTAAATATCGACACTGTAGGGTTCATGGCCACCTTCATATTTTTGGACACAGCCCTCATATCATAATTCGTCTATGGCCCCAATTGACGCGTATCGCAGAAAGTTTCAGCAAAGGATTCTATGGCAACGCTTTGCGGCTTCCACTCTGAAGAGGCTGCATGAAAGATGAGAAGTTTTGAGCGCGCAATCCGGCCCATATCTGACAATCGCGGACTGATTGACGGACGATGCGGCAGCGGAGCGCTCTACTCGCGTACCTCAGTGCTGCCACGGACGAGCTCCCTCCAAGTCACTCGTGCAAAGCGTACAGAAGTGCGTTCGTATTTTGGGCAGCTTTTTCTTAGGAAGGCCAACGATCCAAAGACCGCTTGGACCTTGCGCAATGCGGAAGCAAAGAGGTTTGGCAGCGCGCGTGATCGCGGCGCGCGACGCGTTGGGCTGGGCGTCTTTGAACGGTGGCGGGCGGCCTCGAGGCGGCGGAGTTTCGAACGGCAGCCCAAAAGCGACGAAAGTTCGGATTGCCCTTGTTCCCCAACCTCGACCACGACCTCGAACGAGAACTCCTCCAGGCCCTCATCGCCCCCCTTCACCCTCTGCCAGGTCACCACCACTTGCGCCGCCATCTCCCTCATCCACCGCCTTCATCTCATCTTATCCTACACGGTAGCGGCACGCGACACAACCACCTCTCCATACTACCCACATTACTTCATTACATTCCACCCCTATCATCTGCGTAACGTGACGACATGACTACCCAGACGCGCAGCTTCATCGTGTTCAAGGACGAGCCCGAGGACGTTCCGGCACCGGTGGTCGCTCGCACGACCACCAGCGAGCAGGGTCTTGCTCTCGCCGTGGTTACGTCCCCAACCAACCCTACTATCGCTCTACCGCCGTCCTCCGGCCCTCTCGTCTACTGCCCTGACAAGGAGAACATCGACCCCCTCTCGGGCAGCCGTGCTCTTTCTGAGCATAGCCTCGGCAAGAAGCGCAAGACCGCGCTCGCGGTGAAGGCCCAGCCTGCCTCCCCGAGCAAGAAGCCCCGTCCGCTCACGGAGAAGCCGACCAAGCAGTCCTCTTCGTCGTCCAAGTCTCGCTCAGGATCGGAGAAGAAGGCCAAGGCTAAGCGTTCTAGCTCGACGTCTTCCAAGCGTACCGCTTCCTCGAAGACTCGCCGTGAGCCGTCTCTCCCGCGCCTTGCGGAAGAGGGCGAGGAGCCCGCCGAGGCCATGCCTCTGGACCAGGATGCCATCGATTCGAAGTGCAAGGAGCTCACTGTCTTGCCTTTGGCCGATATCTCTGAGGCCTACGAGCAGGCCACGACCAAGGTGGCTGTCGTGGAGACCTCTCAGCGGGCTGTCGACGAGAAGGTACGATGCGGTGCTCCTTCTTAGCTGCCTTTGAAGTTGACATCTCGTCTTCTCACAGGTCGTCGCCCAGCCTGTCTTCGAGACGATTGAGCGCGCCGCTACGCCGCCCCCGGTGACACAGACCGAGGATGCGACCACGTCGCCTGTCGCGCATGCGTCGACTGCAAGCGCGTTTTCGACGCCTGAGCGGAAGCGTATCTACGCTGCCTTCACCTTCTCCTCGCCTTCGCTGGCCAGCCAGCGCTACGCGTCTGCTCGTGGCTCCAGTGTCGACCGCTTCTCCGACGTCGTCTTCTAAGCGGTCCGTCATAACGCCTTCACCGTCTCCACACCCGGCCAACGACAATTTGAAGCTCTACGATCCGAAACATTACCAGCGTTCAACGGCCCTCGAAGGAATCCGCCGTGCTCTCTGTTCCCACCTACGCCGCGTCACGACAGCCACTGCCCTAGTCCCGTCGACTCGCCCAATCAATCATTGTCCCACAAGCATTTCTATCCGCAGTGTCGACTTCCCTCGCGTACATGTCTTGCATACGAACGTCTTGACTCGCGAACTTTGTTCCTTTGCGGACATCCGGTCTAACGGACCTAAACAACATCCCGACGTCGCTACACGTTGTATTATTATGTCTCTACCATCTCATCGCATCTCTACTATCGTCGCAAGCATCTATTGACCCATCTCTTTACACACTGAACATAGTTTCGCTTCATCGATCACTTCCGCATCACCACACTCAAGACATACCCTCCCGGCGTCGATTGCCGACTTTGTTTGCTTTACATTATTATCCTCCCTTTCCCACGCGTCACATCGCAAAATGCACCCTCATCCGCCCTATGCCTCCCTATCTCTCCCAAACTTCTTGGTTCGTTCTGTCGACTTTCTGGCTACCTCTGCACATATCGCCACCCACTAGCCCCCTGGCCCCCACCACCCTCGCAAGCGCAATGGTTGTGTCATGTCATACAGTACTTTGCTTTGTCCCTGCATACGCATCCGCTCGAGCCTCGCATAGCGTACACACCCTATAACCTCACCCCACACATTTTGGACTGTAGGTACTTGGATTGTGTATCGCCGTCGCAACTAGTCGCACTGCTATCGAATGACATCACAGCATATGTATTCAACGTGCTCTGAGCAGAGGCTTCTGTGTGCTTTCGTTCTGGGTGACGGCGAGTTGCAAAACTATGTCGTGAAACTCATCGGGAGGTTCGGACTACAAAGTACTGAGTTGTATTCTAATAAGTACTAGTTCAAGTTCCGACTACTCAGCAAATCAGCTTTGAACAGCAAGTCAGCTTCGAAACGTAGGTCCTGATGTCAAAACCTTAACCTGGGGTTACGTGATTAATGAGCAAGTCTAATTGACGCTTGCACGTTCACCCCACCCCGCAGGAGCCGCCGTATGCACAAAGAGCACCGATGTGTTAGACCTTCAAGCCACACGCACACACGCTCATTGTATCGACAGAAAATGCACAAATTCAAGGATACCATGCGCGCACGCACCGGCGTGCTCACAAACTCCCCGGTCCCGGTAAGTCGCCATGTTGCCATCGATGATCGCCGTCCGTACTGTCACTGGGGGCATTGAACTTTAGGACGACGTGTCCCATCGTAGAGGCATCGCGACCTACCTTTATTCCACGCCAGCCGCACCCTGCACAACGAATGCGATTAGCGTATAACACGGTTTTGTCAAACCTTTGAAAGGGGACTGCGATGGGACGCCCAACAATGTGATGATGCCACAGTGGCTACAATTCACGATGGATTTGCGATGGGACACGACGGGCCACAGGTAGATGCCCCCGGTGTGTACGAATCTGCAAACTTGCGCTGGCATCGAAGCCTGGCCCCGCTCGCTCCGTCGCGTCCGGGGTGCCCGCAAGACGCGTAGCATGCTGCGCATACGTCGCCGCTGGCATGGATAATCGGGCTCACGAGGTTTAATCCGTGCTCTGTACAGGTGAACAGCATCGAGGACCCGAACTTCGCGGACGGACGCGGGCCTACGGCCATCGCTGTCACAGAAGCTGGCGGTGGCGAACAGTCCGACTCCTCCGAGGCGCGGACGAAGCGGCAAGTTGGGGGCCACGATCCCAGGAAGACGCTCACTTGGCTCGAGATCCCCGAGTGGCAGAGGGACAACGAATATATCTTGACCGGGTATAGAAGGTGCGTCTGGGTCGTACGATTCGACGGCGCCATTTTGCTGTGTCACGGCCGCGGAGACGGAGGGAGTCCAAGTGCACGCGACGTACGCATCGCTGCTTCCGTCACCGCCGGACGGCATGGGGTGCTGTGCGGAGCCAGAGCGGACAGTAGTGCGTACGGTCGCTCCCCATGCTGCCCGGAGGGCACCAGATCTGTTCGCGGACGTTTCTTTCCTGGAAGTCACGCTGATGGTGGTGAGGAAGGGCTGGAGCGCAAGCTTGGACCTGGTTCCTAGTCTCGTGTACAGTGCCTCCACCTCTGTGGCCTTTGTATAGGGTCTCGATCGCCCCTTTCCTCTCGTTCGTGCCCTTCTGCTATACGTTCTTGTACGCTGAGGCCAAGAAGCTAGAGAGGCCGGCACTTGTCGCCAGAAACGGATATGTCAATGACATAGGCTCCGACGTGCTCACATGCATGATATGGGGTGAAGGTCGTTCTCTTCACGTCGCCGACCTTCTGGAGCGCCGTCATAGTCTACCACGCTGGCCGCAGGCTACGTGTCTCTGACTGCTTCGGCCTTTTTGTTCTCCCATACCCCTCACGCCGCACAAGCATGCTTTGTGCGCCTCAGGCGCATGTAGGGCGCGGGCTCATATGTGCGGATATGCAGCGACGTTAGCGGCTCAAAGGAGCATGCTTGCAGCCGTCTTGGACGCTGATGTGTCGTTGACGCACTAGCTGTCGTTGCATGGATCGCTAGTGGTTGGCGGCAATGCTCGTCCTCAGTCCCACGAAGCCTAGAAGACACGGTGTCCGCGCCTCCGCGCCGTTCTAGCTGCGAACGTGTTGCGTGCGTTCTGTCCAGCGTAGTTGCTGCCTATGTGGTAGGCTATACCCGATAGAGGTTTGCGAGGACATGGTGCAATCGCCGCAGTTTCGTCTTGCAGGCATTCATACGCAGTTCCTCAAACCATGCACATCATTCCCTATGCAAACCCTTCCTCAGCTGTCGCACTAGAGCCTCGAGCCAGGATTTGCCGAGGTCACGAGGCGGTTCCCTCGATGGGCTCCGTCCACCATCGCGTTATACGAAAGGAATGGCCTAGAGCAATGTGTTAAGGGCCTATGAGATCGTGCGGTACCGTGTGCGATCGCCCGGGCTACTCAATGTGCGAGTGGAGCGGCTCTGGCAGCTCTTAGAATAAATATCAGCCTTCGGCCGACTAACCTCCTCGCGGCTGATCAGCGGCAGCGGGTGGAGAGGGGCACCTTCGCAATCTCAATATCTGTCACTGATCTCACTTTGCCTTCCGGATGCTCATGTTATCGATCATGTTGTCTTCACAGAGCTACCGGAAGTTGGCGTGCGTGTGCAGCGTCAGTGTTCGGATGTACGTCCTTTCTTCTACGTCGCCGGCAGCTCGCTGTGTGTCACATAACCTACGACTTACTGCCCATGCATGCACGTCGCGCGCTACCTCGGCCCCGGCAGACCTGCATAACGAGACAGGTGATCCTCGCTCAAGTTATTTGCCCTAATCCGAGGACTTACATTCATCCGCGTGGCTCCCCGTTTCCCATCTTTGTAGTGAACATTCACAGCCATCTCGGCGGCGCCGTGTTATTCGCGGTGTTCCTTTTCACGTTCCCATCCGTATTCTTGGTGCACTACGAATCGACCAGTTGGGCGGACAGAGCTGTTTTCGTGATATTCTTGAGCGCCGCCGTCTTCTGCCTCTTTTCGAGCGCGTTCTATCACACCTTCAGCGCGCACTCTCAAGGCGTAAGTACTCATTTCCGCTCACGGGGCTCCCCCATTATGTCATATGGCCAGATGGCCGATGCTAAAGATACGCTTTCGCCATACGCAGGTCGCTGCGCGCTGCAATGCCCTGGACTACGCCGGTATCGTTGGTGCGTCCTATGCCGCACAAGACACCACCTGGCGGAATGCTGACTAGTGTCCGCATCTGGACAACCCTCATTTCACCGCCTCTCCTCGGCGGCCTCGCATGATCCACGACACCTCCCTTCCTCACAGTGCTCACCGTCGGGTCGTTCTTTCCCTCTATCTACTACAGCTTCTACTGCGAACCGCACTTGCAGACCTTCTACCTCACTTGCATATGTGCCGTGGGTCTCGGTGAGTGAAGTCATGTGGATAATATCTTAGTCTTGTCTTCCCGATCAGTACCCACCATGCTGCTTGGGCGCCCCGCTCGTGATGACTGTTCGTCCGTTCTTCGCCATCACCGCGAGCTGCAAGCTTAACCTACATACCTGCTCAGTCATCTTCCTAGTCCCTGATCGCGCGGATATGGGCATTAGACGTTGTATTACATCCACGACTCTTTCCTCCCTGTTTCCGTATTGTCCATATCCCGTACATGTTTCCTGACCAATGCCACAGGAGCTGCGTACATTGTGCTCAACCCGGAATATCGCCAGCCGACACACCGCGGGGCCAGGACGAAGGTTTTCATCTTTCTCGGCCTGTCCGGCGTGGTACCTACCCTCCACGGGCTCGTCACTCACGGCTTCTATACGCTGTGCTATGAGATGGGTGCCGCCTGGCTCCTCCTTTCCGCGGCGTGCTACATCGGCGGCGCTCTCCTATAGTGCGTGTCTCCTGCGTTCTGTCTGTATTGTTGTGCAATTGCACTTACCGAGCTCCCCGTTTCCGCGTTTACCCACTTCACCCTCGCTTCTTGCCCTCACTTCTTGCTTGATGCATTGTGGTTCGCTTGCGCCCTTGTCTGACGGTTTGACGGACATCCTGTGCTTGTCACGATCGCCTCGTCTCCGCAACCACTTCCACTTGCCAACATGCATCTACGCCTCGGGCCCCCCGGGTCACTCTGATCCTCTCTCCGATCTCGCTTCTTCCATCACAACTCTCTTCTCAACATCTCGATCCTGGTCCCCGGCGCCGCCTTCTCGCGGCTCGGTACCCGGATCTGGCACTCTCGGCATCCGCAACCGCGCCTCCCGCTGCGGTACGATGTCTCCTGACGATGACCGCTGGACAATCCCCGATGTCCGTCGGCGATGGCCCTCACGCGCAGCGCGAACCGCATCCCGGAACGTTTCTCGCCCGGGACATTCGACTACTTCCTCTCGTCGCACCAGATCTTCCACTTCTTCGTGCTCGCGGCCGCGCTCGCGCACTACGCCTCTATCCTGACGGCGTACGACCACTGGCACCGACGGCTAGGGGGCTGTCCTGCGCACGTGCAGTACTAGGCCGTCACCGTGAAGACGGAGCAGGGTCGCCTCTCGGCCCGCAGGAGGAGGCCGGGCGCGTTTTGGACATCTTTGTCGGTGTGGCGTGAGTGGCACGTACCCAAGACTGCGTCCTTGTGGTACCAGTCCCATGCTTCTGGAATACCGCGTCATACATGGACACGACCCATGACTGCAGGTGACCCCTCTGTGGTTGGCGTTTGCCTAGCACTGGACATCTGGACGGCGCGCAGCTCGCCGTCTCAATGATCTCACAGTCGTCCCCGAGACCACCCGAGCGCGGTGTCGCGCTTGCGGTCGCTTGTCAGGAGCTCCGAGTCGGCATGACGGAAGTTTGTGAGAGCTCGTGAGGAATCCCCGATGCCTGGCAGTTCATGCCTGTGGCGCAGGTTGAGCGTGTGCGGCCTAATTGGTACTGTCATGAAACATCCGCTCTTGTTCCACTGTCAGTGCGTGCCCACACTCGCTGCCCATGGGAACCCACAGTCCTGCTACGACATAGATGCATCGAAGGGGAATCGTGCTGTCACGGTTGTCGGCGTGGTTTCATGACATATTGACTCCGTTCCGTCCGGGCGTAGTAAGATATGCACATGTACCTTCATATGGGCAGGATTGCGATGGTAGAGAGATCGCAGGAAACCGGTTAAGGCGATAAGTTTGGTGTCGCTGTCGCGCATAACTTGTTTCTCCCCTGCGAAGGTACCTCGGGGGCAGCAACGGTGAAATGTCTACTTTGGCACAAGTAGCTTCTGCGGCGTTCGGTGGGACGATAGAACGACGTCAAGCGATCGGGGTGCAGACCTACATATATACTGACTGAGGCGGATATATCGGCCGTGGTTTCCACTCGACGTTGGATCTGCCACGCGATCGAACGTGATCGGACCCCACCATTGACATCGAAACGCTTACCACCGTGGCACGCCAGACCATATCCGGAGATGCAACTTGGCCACACTCGTACGCCCGCGACCATCGGGACCCACGTCGCGACGAGACGACATCGTTCGGACTTCGGAACAACGAGCGGGCAAGGCTGTCGATACATGAGACGGCGTGGAGACGGCGGCGTGCTTGTGTGATGTTCGCTGTCACACACTGCACGTTTCGACGTCCCTCAGACGCTTCTCGCGGAGCCGGAGAGCCTCTATGAGCAAGGCGGCCCAACGCCGGACGCGTGCGGCATATTAATACACACAAGGTTCGGTGCTGACACGGTGCGCAGCTGAGGTGGCTCTTGCCTGGAACAGCTGAGGGCGTGCTCTCGTCAGACTAAACCACGCCGGGGCTTCTCAGGATTTGTAATGGGGTGCTCCAGGAGAGCTCCGATAGAGTTGTCAGTGGACCAGGCACGACGCGCCTCGTTCTTGAGAACGAACCTTGCCGTGCCACACGAGGCAGGGCCCGGATGGTCGTATGGGAGGGTGTTGGTGCGTGGAACGACCAGGAGACGCAGCTGGATATGAATTGCATGACGCCTAATTTGCGGTGTCTGTCACAGGTGTTGGTTGCGCGATTGGGAGCAGCACGACGCACGACGTGGACCCACTGGGCAACTGTAGTGATGCTGGATCGGTTGGGACAGACTTTCATGTCATGGATCTCGATGGCGTTGTCACTTGGGTGCAGCGGACCGGAGATCTGGGGTTGCGCTTGCCGAGCCGGGGACGGCCGAGGATGGGAAACGCTGGTGACCAGGTGGCGACTGGAGGGAGGTGATGAGGTCTTCGGTGTGTTGTCATTCGGTGTGTGTGAGGACCGTGGCTGCCGACCCGCGGGGCCTGCCAGTGCCACCAGTCAACAGGAGGGGACCGAGGACACACCATGCCAATCACGTTTCTCCACTATATCTCGCGATGTGCGCGATATGGAGAAACGCACTGGCCTTTTCTCCGCCCGGGTCCGATCCTCCCCTCGGCCAGTTTCTCTCCCCTTCATCCCAACTGGCAAGATACGACCAGGCGGCTCGCTTGCGCTTGGCTTGGGTGTGCGCCGCCTCCAGCAAGTTGAGATCCCGATCTATAGGATCTGTCCCTGTCCTGCCCCTTCTCTCGTGCCGCATAAAGCCTCCCACTTTCCTTTATATCCTCGCGTCGTCTCATGTGCAGTCATCACGAACCTTTTCATGACCATGTATCCCCTAGGATTTCTGCCACTCTTCTGCACCTTTCTACCATACTCGGTCGCCGTCAATGCCGCTTTGCTTGTGCCCGTCATCGTCCTCGCTGTTTGGTCCTACGCAGTCTTCGCCCCCCGCCCATCCTCCGCAAAGGATGCAGACGACGTCTATCCTGTGCATCTACCCGGGTCTTCGCTTGCCCATATCCTTCCATTTTTCCAGCGACGCTTCGATTTCATAAATCAGGGCTTCGAGCTCGCCGGCCAGGCCATCTACCAGTTCTCTCTGCTGCGAGTATGTACTGACCACCCTCTCGCCGGTCCTACCCTACCCTCCCCGATGGGTTTCGGTTCCGTCTCTGAATTGGCTCGGCTGATTTCGCACCCGTTGGCAGAAATCCGTCATCGTCCTGTCAGGCGAGGCCGCGCGCCGGGACTTCTTCCAAGCAAAGGACCTCGATCTCGGAGCCGGCTTTAGGTTTCTCTCCGGCGCCGTACGTAGCCGCAACACGTTTTGTTGCCGAACACCTTCCTCGAGTTCTCGCGACCGTAGCCAACTGACGCTGACCGTCCCTTCTCTCCAGATACCGATGCTACCGGGCGTCACCACCGACCTGGGCCCCGGCCGCGTCGCCCTCATCTACAAGCGTCTCGCGACCACACAGACCAGCGAAAGCCTCTCGCGGCGTGAGTATCTCGCATGTTCAGTTTCCCGTTCAGAGGACACCACATCGCTTGCGCCTGCGCGGGGGCTGTTGGCCCCCACTCAGTCACATGTAGATGATTGCAGATAGAAGCCGAGCCTATCCGGCGGCCGAGAGACCCTACGCTCGGGTTATTTGCTTCAGCAACAAGCGTAAGCGTCGCACAGTGCAGGACAAGGAATGTGATACGCACACGTTGAGATCGACGTGGAATAGCCCGCGGGGTTCTCGGATTCGTGACATGTGAACGCTGTATGGTGCGAGGCAAGACAATTCGGTGATTGGCACGATATCTTCAGCGTCAAGCCTTCACCTCACGAGGTCGCGCTATGTGCCATACGTTCTGTCGTATGTTTTGAATGTCAGAGATCCGGCCTGCCCGCAGTCTGTGCTAGTCAGCGCACGTACTGACTCTGTCTGGGCCGTTAGTCATCCCGCAGATTTTGGAGGATTCACGGCGCACAATCAACGCATGGGGTAACTCCGGCATTCTGGACCCCTTTGACCGCGTTCCCGAGGTACGTACGCTGTCGCAATTATAGGTCACACGTGTGTGCTTCATGAACTCGCTTATCCTCGCAGCTTATCTTCCAAACGAGTGTGCGCTCGTTAGCGTTCTCGGAACTCGCGGAGGACCCCGCTACCGTCAAGCGCTTACGGGAGCTGTACGACACCTTGGACACAGCCACAACTCCTGCAACCGTCCTCTTCCCATGGCTTCCCAGCCCGACCGCAGTACGCAAACTACTTGCGACAAAGCGCATCTATGACATAATCGGGAAGACTTTGGACGATCGCATGAAGAATGGCATCGCGCGCGACGATACGCCGCAGATGCTAATCGATGCGGGGGACGAAAGGATGATCATTATCGGAGTCAGTCCCTCTTCCTTTTCTCCACACGCTTCTCGTTCTGCACGGTCGGGTGCGCACCGTACCGCACGTCCGGCACCGTGCGGCTGCGCAAGCGAGGGTGCGGATGCGAAAGTTCTGGCCTGAACTGTGTGTGACTGGATGACATGAGCAGCGCACGTACTGACGGAATCTTGCTCCCCTGTGGCATGCGTAGTTCGTGATGGGCCTGCTCGTGGCTGGCGCACGGTCGACTGGTACTACCGGTGCGTTTCACTTTTGGCTCGTCTGCGCGCTGCGCGATGACGCTCTTCGGTTCACGGCTGATAAACCTGCTGCAGCTTCCTGGCTCATCACATTCCTCAGCGGACACCCTGAATGGAGGGAAAAGGCTGCCGATGAGGTGCGACGGCTCATAATGAACCATGCAGCTCAGCTGCGCTGTTCTTCCGAGCCTCGCACGACATTCGCGGGAAGCACCGAGGATGCGTCGTGCTCTGCGCAAGACCAACCTGAGCGTCAAAGTCATCAGCCTCCATCATCTGCACCCGCGGAACCGTCTCCTGCTTCCCCGCCTCTCTCCTCCCTGACCGCTTCCCTGGCGAGCATTCCTCTGTCAGCATGGGAGAATGACACACCAGTGCTCGACTCGCTGATTCGTGAGACGTTACGTGTGGCAGAGCCGCACGTCGCGATGCGCCAGTACCTCCCGCTCTCGCACTCAAGCGAAAAGGAGGTAAGGGCGCCGCACGCATACGGGAAGACTTTATACCTCGGCGGTAGGGCGATACCACCAGGAGCGTACGTCATGTACCCGTTCAGCGACGTGCACCTCAGCTCGGACGTCTACCAAAACCCGTGGAGATGGGATCCAGGCCGTGCGGAGATGGGCTTGAAGGCGCCGTATTCATACGTCGGGATGGGCGCAGGTACGTGTCACACCGGCGTCGTAGCTGCAGCGTGCCCTCGCACCATGCGCTACGCACAGCTCCCGTCTCTCTCTGTCTATTGGCTACAGATACGGATGCTCACGCGCGCCGAAATGGGTTGCAGGGACGACTATATGTCAAGGCAAGCGCCTCGCGACGCTCGAGCTGAAGCTCGTCACGGCGCAGGTCGTGCTCGGTTTCGGGGAGCTTCGCGCGGTCGATGCGCGGGGGTTGCCGCTTCCGGAGTTACCGCGGCCGAACTGGAACGACGTCTTGACGTGCAAGCCGCCGCCGGGCTCATGCTACGTGCGCTTCGAACGGACAGTGGAGGTTGATGCCTTGTAGGCGTTCTCCTTTTTCATGACGTGTCTCCCGTCTCTTGCCTCTTCTCTATATGGATTGTATCAGTAACGTCACCCATGTTGTATATCGCGGGATACGTACTTTAGTATGTCGTTTAGATGATGAGATGCTCGGGCAGGGATTTATGACCTTAGATAGACTACTTGGATTTATGACCTTTGGTTACGGTGTATGTTGCAGTTGGTCCAGGAGGACCGAATCCTGCCTCGTTGAGGGACTCGCCGGGAGTAGCGCGATATACCCTTGTCTTGAAGTCTGCCATTTCGCAAGGCTGGAGTCTTGTGACCCCAACCAACTCAAGCAGTGGCACAACACGACACCTGCCACACTCCACGACGGGCAGCGTTCAAACTCCCTTTGCGTGAAACGGAGGTCTGACTTTGGGACAATCCTAACTGGTCCCTTTGTTGACCTGCACCAAAGGGCGCTGAAGGGTCGGCAATGGGAAAGTTGTACTTTCCCGGAGATTTTACAGTGCTTTCACAAAGAACGATTCGAGGCTGTGCCCGCTGTGACTCAAGTCGATTGGGCTCCTTCGATCCTGTTGCGATACGACCTTTCACATGCCTATTGTTTTACGATACGACCTGATTAGTGTAGAAGTTCGAGGGCAAGCGAGCACAAATGGGATTCGCGTTTGGCCACTGCAAACGCGTGCCGTACGTAGTACATACAATAGACCTTATATACACAGTAAAATAGGGGTAGATAAGAGCGCGGGTATCCGTCGGGGGGCGGGACCTGTGGCGCTCGTTCCGCGAGCTCGCCATGATTCCAACAATCAGGAGCTAGCCGGTCACTGCGTCGGCGTAGCATCACTGGTCGCCTCTTCGGATGACCACAAGGCCGAGGCTGTACACGTAGGAATAGGGAAATCCCGCGTAGGAAGATACAGTTGACCTCGGAGCCTCTTGCTAGGACCCCAGATGTACTTAGTGTGAAAGATATAAGAAGGCTACTGGGAGCATTAGTTCTCATTTTAGCGGCATTTCATCGATATCCTGTGCTCGCTAGATGTACAACCGCGCTCCTTAAGGCTTCTTACCCCTCACGACTGGTCGAACTAGCGCCTAAGGTACATAAGTCGTGACAGATCCCGACTCAACGCACCTTACCAACATCTTTCGTAGAGAAGATTCCTTTAGAGGCGCTGATCTGGCCCAAGTTCCGTGGTTTGGCGTACTCTGACATAAATTGCCTACAGGTCTAATATGTGGTGCACGCACTTGTAGAGGGGCAGTGCCCTGCATCAAACAAGCCCTCAGTGGCGATTTGATTAGGCGCCAGCATGTCTCTTTCCAACCATCACAATCGGCGTAACCACCGCCAGCCCCCGCCTATCCTCGCACGCTCCAGCAAGTATCGCACCATCTGCGACCTACCAGTCGAACTCCTATGCATGATCATATCTCATGTGAAATCCGACAAGTGGACGATCCGGACGTGCACGCTCGTGTGCCACTGTCTCCGCGCGGTGTCACTGGAACATCACTTCCGCAATGCCTTATCTGTACGAAACATCGACACCTTCGACCACCTCTTCTCATTCTTGCGCGCGAACCCAAAAATTTGCGAGAAGACTGCCCGCATCAGGCTGGATGGCGCTACACGGAATGTCGAGAAGCATGGATATGCTCCCGTGACCTCCATCGACGAGAACACCGTGCTGGAACTCACGCAGCTGCTTCCCAATCTCACTGCCCTGCGGCTCGGCTGTTTTGTGTATAAACCACCTCAGCTACCTGATCCGAGACGGAACCCATGCGCCGAGCAGGACCCTCCAGAACGGATCCGTCTTGAACAACTCTCCTTCGGCTCATTATATACTCCCTTCCCCAACGAATCCTCGATATCTGGCTTCTTTCACATCCTGTCTATGTTTGAAATCGATTTCCTGGGTGGTTGTCCAACAGGATGGGAGCACGATGCTCGCACACCGCTTGATCTGTCAAGCCTCCACCGTCCCTTGAGGGCGAAGAGACTTTGCTTATACGATCGTGGTTCAGTCAACAACTTCAAAATCGTGCTTTTGGATGCGTTCACTAAGAGCCTTGAACCGGGATATCTGCAAGATCTCAACGTCGAATGCGGCAACGTTTCCGAAGTCTCTGCCATAGGCGAACTCCTTGCTCGCGTTGGACATGGTCTGACGAGCCTGCAGGTCAGCGGGATGCCTCCTCACGCTCCCGTATCTGCGCGAAGATGCTGGAAAGACCCGCTGGACAGTACGTGGATGTTATAATAACTGATGCGATTCGTATCGCAGGCTTATTTACGACCGGATGTTTCTCTAGGCCATTGGAAAAGCCTCAACCTCGCATCTTGCCCGAGACTCGAGTCGATCAATATCCGCATCTACTTTCGCGCACCCGGCGACGAGAAACAGCCTACGGACCACCCGGTGCTCAGCCTCGCCGGGGCTGGAATGCTTTCCCAGGCGCCGCCTACCTTGCGCAAAATTGTTATTTGGCTGCACGACCTGCCTCGCATTACGACGTTGAACAACCGGCGGATGCTCCGGCTGCAAGAATTCGACAAGATTATCACACGCGACCGATTCCCGCTCCTCGAGAGGGTGCATTTGCACATCTCTATTGATTCGAGTCTGGAAAGGAAGCTTAAAACCGACTGGTGGAAGTTGGTGCTCGCAACTCAGAAGGTTCTACCTGGTCTGCATTCGCGGGGGCTACTCAAGGTTACTCAATAGGAGCGAACAAGTTGTCTCTGGTATGTGTCGTGGTCGAATTCTGTATCACGTGCGCTGAAACCCATTGCGTAGATAGCTGAACCATTCAATGCAGATTGACTGGGGTCTAACTTGGAGTCGCGTGAGGAGCATGTGTGGGCGCATATGCATCTTCCCTCCAGCCACGCACTGGTGCTTTCTTGAGCGACCCGTTCCCGGTGGCGCGCCACTCTTTGGTTTTTGTCTCCTGCTAGATACATCTACACGCTTCTTATGATGTTCTCACACTACCTCCTTCCTCATCGACGTGCTCAAAAGTCCTCGACTTTGAGCATTGTTGCTCTCGTTCAAACCCGCTCTTCCGCCATCCCTATTCTTCAACTTTTCCCATACCGTACAACATGCTAGTTTCTCGAACATTATGTCTCGGTTAGTGATATTTGCCTCCGCCGGCTTGGACTCGGCCCCTCCTGGTCGCGCTAGAGAGCGATGGCCATGCGAGTGTGCAGTGTGCAATGCCGCTACCACGTCATCCCCACGGCAGGTAAAGGTGCGACTGTTGGAATCCTGGCGTCAAGATGGCGAGCTCGCGGAACGAGCGCCACAGGTCCCGCCCCCCCCGACGGATACCCGCGCCCTTATCTACCCCTATTCTACTGTGTATATAAGGTCTATTGTATGTACTATGTACGGCACGCGTTTGCACCGGCCAAACGCGAATCCCATTTGTGCCCGCTTGCCCTCGAACTTCATCAGCGACGGTGATGGTGAGCAACAAAGAGGGATACGAAGGCCCACTGGAAATGCTAGGGTCAGATTGCGTGGCCTATCGTGATCAATGCTGCACGAATTTCCCTGCTGGAAGCGTGCAGCCCGCCGTGTCACCCGCAAAGAACCAGTTACGGGAACATTTGCGCTGTCTGACTCTATACTCGCGATATGGATGAGAGAACTCAACCACTCCACCTTTTCATCTGTATTGTATATGATCGCTGCTTCATAAGATCGGGCATACTCATCATCCGGACGAGCGCGTGCTGCACTGCGCCGAGCTTCCACCCACGCCGAACGGCACGACGGTCCGGTCTTGCCGCCCATATGATACCGCCAGCAAGTCCATCTTATTTCCATATATTCACGGTCTCCACATCCCTATCGAAGCGGAAATCCCATGACGCCAACTTAGATGGCTATGGCCTCTCTTTCTGATCTCCTGTCCACCGACTCGAGACGAAAAACACCTGTCGGGACATGAGTACGTACCTGCTGACGCTGTTCAAGTTGTGCCCCCCCTACCTGGTCTCCGTTTCAAGCGCGAGGGCCGACCGGATGCTTGAGCACATGATGGTGGTCGTTCTTCACTGTCTCTCGTGATCGTGATGGAACTCTTCCTCAGCCATTTATATATCTGAGGTCAGTGTAGTTCGCTGGCCAGTCGACAACCAGGTGACATCAACGCGATGGGGAGAGTCGGTGCCGCGCTTGCGAGGCTCGTTGTGCGTCTCCTGGCGTTGCTTTTGGTCTGTCAGGCTGGTCTTGCTATAACGTCGTCATCGTCGTTTGGAAGTGACATCACTTTGCTATACAATAATGACCTGAACGGTGGGCTCCGTTCGCTTCAGCCTGTCCCAATTGCTGACTGGTAGACGCACTCAGTCAATGAACAATCAACCCACCACGGCGCTCTCTTGCTTTCAACTCCACACCTCCACCCCGACGCGTCGCGTGCCTGCGCAGCCCTTGGGGAGACCTTGCTGCCGGTCAACAAGACGTTCTTTGCGACTGACTTGGCGCATCTGCTCCAGTACCAAGTCTTCCAGAAGCACTTCCCTCCCACCCAGCAGTTCTGGGTAGCCGGCTCGGGACCCTTCTGCCAGATCGTCGATGCTAAGGGCGCCGTTAGCCTTTCGCTGACGTGTCTGCGAGAGCTGCCTGTGCTGTGCTCCCAGAGTGCTGGCTTCCAAGCACCAGCCCAGCCCGGGACCTCGCTCACGGTGAAGTCTCAGGACCTGACGATCGTCGGGTAAGAGACTTTCCCGTCGGCATACCAATATGCAAACTGATACTCTGCTAGATTTCGGGATCAAACGACGTTCAAGTTCTATGGCATTCCATATGCCGACCCTCCGGGCCGGTGGGAGTACCCTACTGCATACACCGGCAACAGGACCATCGATGCGCGCAACTACGCTCCTGCGTGTTTCGGGTCAGGCTTGAACCCCAGCAGCGAGGACTGTCTCCACTTGAACATCTGGACGCCCTTTATTCCATCGCCAGACACGAAGACGCGTCTGAAGGCAGTGATGTTCTGGATCCACGGCGGCGCATTCACGGGTGGATCAGGAAGCCAGTCGCTGTACGATGGGGGCGCACTCGCGTCTCGTGGCGATGTCGTCGTCGTCGGAATTGACTACCGCCTTTCCACTCTCGGATTCCTCGCACTCGATGATGGCAAGACAAACGGGAACTTTGGTATCGCGGATCAG